GCATCAATAATGTGACGTCTCCATACATCGTGTGATACACTAGAGAATTACAACTACCGGTTGACAATCTGGTACACAGAGACGAAAAAATCACGGTACGAGATTAGTTCCTCATCATCTGGAGGTAGGTTTTCTGCTCACTTAAACAATGTTTCAATCTGACCTATGATTGGCATGGACAATGTGCTTAATCGAACCGTTGGTTTATGGATAAAACTTTTGACAATTCTTGAGAGCCTCTGGGTTATTTTGAATTGAGAACTGTCATTAGGCACACTTCCCATTTACTTCACGCAAGCATTCACTCAGTTCGGCTTCATTGATGTCCCTAGTCCATTTCCGAGGAAAAGCACTGATATGTTTACAGATGCATTGCAAGTGTTTTTGAGGTTCACATCACTCTCGTCTGAACGGTCATATCTGGAGAGACTATAACTGAAATAATTCACATGCCACCCGATTATCACTGACTGCAAGACGGAATACTACGTTTCTTCCCCATGCTGCTTAGGTGATGGAGCCAGACAGATACCGAAATTGACTAGACACCCTCTTCGAGAGTTCTCAAAAGCTTGACCTCTTGGGTCACAGTTCTTTGGAGTGAAAAAAGGAGTTTTGCTTATTGAGACTTTCATTTCTGCGGCGCCAATCTAAATTCAAAATATTGTTTTAGGTTTTTCCGCACCCCAGAATTCGGTGTCGTGGTGTTTCATACGGGACCTGTTGCACAATCAAACGTACCAGTAATGCTTCACTGTCAGTAGTCTTCCCGGTGTGCCTTCCAATTCCACGGTGGCTCAGTGTATTTAGCACGAAAACCAATGGAAATTTTGACGTATGTATTATCTGACCTACCCTTTCAAGAAACTTACCATTAATTAATAAAACTGCATTCTACATTTCAGAAAGATTCTGGCGGCAACTCATCAAAAGGATGTTTGATTGCGATGGGAGTCATAACGGGCGTTTTGGTGATATTTCTGGCGCTATGCCTGCCACTCGTATACGTTTCCATCAGTTCGCTTGTGGCCGGAATCGATGGAAAAGCGAAAGAGGGTGAAAGCTCAGGACTGAAAAACACGGTTCACGTAGTCGTCAATGAAACCTCCCTGTTCTTGAAAGACATCCCAGTTAGGGGTCGGAGGGTGACAACCGACTTACTCGTCTATTTGCAAACTGATCTGACGGTGAGTTGTAGAAATGCCCAAAAATATACGATTTTCGCGAATTAGCGTCAAAGCAAATTAAACGTAAATGATTGGGTGAAAATATGATACCTTAAATGCATAACTTCTACAAGGTGTTAAGGTCAGATTTTGGCATCCTTGAGAGGTCGCTATAAGAAAATTTGTTTCTCGATTCGTTTTCTCACTCAGGACTCGGTACACGTACTACGGCTTTGACAAGCATATATGTCCTCCGCCCTCGTCACATGAATTTTTTTTTTAATTTTTAACTGTTGCTTGTTTCCGAATACAAAATTTGAGCTCCATTCACATGGATATCACCTGAAACGCAGGGAATAATTCGCTTGTCGATCGATATCTCTCAATTAACCTGACTCGTAAGTTCCGGTCAGAATTATTGAACAGTTATTGGCAAAGATGAAACTCTTCGCATTGTGACAGCGTATTTGAAGCTGCCGTCTGCAGATTTTGGTTCAGTCTGCCAAAACTGTTCTGTATTCGCACACACTTGAAATTAACAGATACACTGAAATTTCCGTCTAATTTTCTTTCGTTGTCTTCTTACTTTTACACTAGCGAAGTCTGTCAAAACTAGTAAAGGACATCCTAAAAGAACTGCTCGTTCGTTACAATGTGCGTAAACTTATGGACGAGGCAACAACATTATCCAGTGGTGTCAGCAGATTGCAAACATTGATAGACTTCGTCAAAAGTACAAAAACTGAAATTGTCAACGGAATTAAGGAGCTTAAGAAAAAGATGGATCTCCTTCAGAAGAAGTTACAAACTGATATGGAACAACTATGTGGGCACTTACAAACCCCACAAAGAGACCAATGTAATAAGTTGTTGGTAAGTCAGACCATTTAAATCCTGGTTACGGTATCCGCATTTATAAAACCCAAGTCTTTTTTATCCTCTATGGGACAAATTTCATGAGAAACCTATGGGCGTGCCTTCCTATGGGGAGTTTGTCAACACTGAGCTCAACCAGGATGTGTTTTCATCTATTAAACTCACTAACATTGCAAAAAGGTGGGTCTATTCAAACGCTTGCATAATTTGAGCGTAATTTTGATAGGCTCAGCAATCGTCCTGTAATAATTTTTCAGTCTTGCAATTTTGCAGTCCGTATCTGTCGGGTTCATATTTTATTTGTAATTAGTAGTTGGAAATCAACAGCCTATAGGTCGTAATAAGTGTACCACTTCAGGTTTCTAAACTTATTTTCTAGTAGAAAAATATTTGCAAGTATAATCGCATTACCGAAAGACACCAAATGGTTCTGTCAACCTGTCTGAGGTGCTCCAGTACGTCTTCATCTTTTGCCACTGTAAAATTCCTTTTTTGTTGTTCTATTTTCCTATAAGATGATCGCCTGTTTCTCGTGTTCTCCTTCGTCTATTGTCTGTTATGTGTAAACCTAACATGTTTTGCTTCAGAAGAATTAAATTTGAGGTATTGAAAAAGTTGACAATTCCAGTTCAGCTGGCAAGAATATATATATAATTTTTCGTAATCTCGCTCGTATTTGTTGATGCAAGTACCCCAAGTATGATGCAAACACATGATAAGCAAAGCCGTTTCCGACCACGCCTAACCTTCAACTAGATTTTAAACAAGCTTTCCGTTAAAAATTTTCTCCAAATGAATGTACCTCTCCACTGTCTCCTCAGAGAAAGTCATGTGCTGAATGGGCCAGAAATTAGCAGACCGCCCCTTACGGATTGATGCAAGACAGCACAGTTCACATGCAGGATGAATCATTTTGAACTTCCATTTTTACAATTTTCCTCAACTAAACGTTTTCCGGAAATTTTGTCCCCAATCTCCGCCGGATCAATATTTGATCAATATCCCATAGAGCTGAGCTTGATTGACTAAATAGAAATCGAACACGAGTAGAAAATTAGCAGAGAACACAACAGATAAAAAACGCCAAAGAGTTGATCACGTGAAGCTGCATAAAATGGAATTGTGAAAAAATGTGACTTCAATCAACGTTCAGTTTTCCAAGGATTTTGCTCCGTTTTGTTACACTTCGTATAAAGAAGAGTGGGCTTACTTCATACGTGCTAACGCACTCAACTTTTGTGCGAGGTTCATCTTAGGATTCTTTACATATCAAGTGGATACCTGGTTTCTATGCGAAAGAATGACGTATTCATCAAGTCAGCAACCTACATTTAGGTAAAAAAATTGACAAGCCCAAGAAGGATGAACCTGATGGTGGGGTAACAAAAACTTTAAAATCCTTCTTCAGTTTAAATGTTGTGCAAATGTTTTAATGGATTGTACCTATGGAGTAATAATAGCACAATTTCTGATAACCTGGATCCCGCGTCAGAAAAACCTTTTGTTGAGATCGTACACTTGGCTCGCATTAGCATCGGACCTATCTTTTTCCCCACAGCCCTCCTAGACGTTGATGAAACTGGTGCTGAATTTAGACCTCTTCTCCTGGAACTCTTTGCAGTTGGGTTGCAATAAAAAAATGACCGCTTAATGCGCGTGCGTTATGTCCGAAAAATCTGCATCAGTGTGCTGTGAAGAAGAGCTTAATAAATCCTTTATACGGAAGCCTGTCTGGAACACCCTAATTTACTGGTGATCCGGTTAACATTCTGACTTACTTGGCGTTTTTCTATTCAGCTCGTAATAGGCTCCATTTGTTTCGTGAAATTTCGTGCCTATGAAACTTGCTGGAACAGTACTTACAGTAAAATTACTGAGAACAACCGCATTGCTCATTGTAAAATATCAGTCTTTTTAAATCGGATAGCAAAGAAAAACAAACTACCTTATTCAAAGGGCCCCACATTCTTATGCATTATTTATAAATCTGTATTGATTAGTATAATTATTGTTAATACACTTCAACCTCATTATCTCGTAACCGACCACCGTATGACGCCCTAGCAACTACTTGTAATAGGGTCCCGGAAGTGCGGGAAATATTAATTTAATAAACTAATCAAGCATATCGAGCTTTATTATGGTTTGAGCAACACACTTGCTAAATGTTTGTTTTTAAATTTTACGACTTTTATAGCATGAGGATAAAGAATTACAACGGGGGAAGAAACATTGCGGTCAACTTTTGTAGCTGGTCCCACAAATTTTTCTGTTCGTTCCCTATAAAACATAGTCTTTTTCCTTTGGTTGCAGGGTCCGCTGCATTTTTAATTTGTCCAGATAGGCGAAAGGTTTGACGGGATGATACACAGAAACGTAATTGATAAAGGGCTACTATTTTCTTAGTGTGACTATATTCACAAAGAAAACTTAATCAAACGGGAAAGAGAAAAGACCCAGTGAAAGTCATCCGACGAGGCTAAAGGAGCTGGCTTTCATTAAATTTGCCAGAAAAAGTTTTTAAGAATACAGTGGACAAATTTGGCCTGTCTGGAAAGAGCACATTTTTTCCATTGGATACAACACATATCAATTTTCGGTGAACATCATTCTTATGATGATGATTGCTTGCCAGGCAACCACTGTCAAACGCAAGTTTAACATTTCGCGTCGTTCTTCAGTGGTATGATGGAACTGAACGGCACAAAAAGGCCCCCCAAGAAGTCATGAGGACGCACTGAGGGATTTAGAGAATTCCCACTGGATCTATATTCTGCTGTGCATTCCACAACTTGCTCATGTGTAAACGTTGTAATTAGACGTTGTTTTGCGGATGAATGTGGGTTAAAACAAGGTCCACGTGACCCAGGCATGGCAATATTGCGATCGATGCTCATGTGTGGAAGAATTCAAACCCAGTGTTTCATTTTCCTGAAACTGCTGCGAATAAAATCTAGGAGTAAAAGTGATACAATGCTATCGTTTGATTGGTGATCTGAGGCGCACATTCAAAAAACTGTCGCAGGTCAGGTGAAATCCAGCCCATACATGACGGTTGTCTTTGGATGCACTGCCTGATTGGATCTCAAGTGTCACTAAATTTTGAAGAGGCATTCTGAGATAAGTCTTTGGGACTGGTTATGAAAGACCACATAAGTAGTAAGGCAAGGTGACCTGCTGCAGCTTCTCGTCAGTAACCGGAGTACACCAACAGGTATTCTACCAGTCTAGCCTTGAGAAGTGGCGAAAAATCCAGGGGGATACTTATGTCACACAGAGACGCGATGATCTGGACCTTCCTAGGGTGGCTTGCAAGGCACAGAAAGCGCTCATTTTACACTCGTGTACAATTGTTTGCACGTTAGTCGAACGATGGCATCGTCTTAGCAATGGTTTCTATGATTTCAACAACACTTGAAGCACCCTATAATGCCAAGTTAACCACTACAGAGAATGATGGGGTTGAGACTGAAATATTACTGTAGAAGGGCCCAACTGGTACTATCTAAATCTTTAAACGGTTTCACCTTCATTTCAGGAAAAAATTAAAGCAATGAAGTTGGACTTCAACGAAACGCATATCACCCTCAGTGATGACCTAATTCAGATAATCTCCACGTTCGGTACCAACTTGACAGCCGTGTTGAACAAGCTCACAAACCTGGAGACCAAATTAGATGAACAAATTGAAAGCACAATTTCGCAAGTAAGTGCCATAATGTGATTTTGTCATGACAGTGTAAAGCCATGTTGTCATAGTTATGCTATGTAACATGTTTCCGTGACTTTGCCGTTTATTCCACTCCGTTTTACACTGTTCTGCACTTTCTTACCTTCCGATCAAAATGAGTGAAACGAATTCAACAAATAGAAAGTGATTTTGTGCAGACAAATTCAATGAACTCGCTAATATGTTTAGCCGTTTCAACACAATCCTCACCACTACCTTTACTCTTTAGTGGTTTAATGGGGCAGCTATCGCTTAGCATCAAAGGGCGGAAGCGATAAATCGTCCTTTAAGTTGTCGTGCGTTGTCCATCAGGTGCCCCGATGTAAGTTATCAACTGCTTAACCACCTGATCTATTTCAAATTCCTTTCAAGAAATGTAAAAATCTAAAGCACGCCTTCGTTAGAGTCAACCCTGTCCTAACAGTATTGTGATTTACTAGCAGGAAAGTTGTGACATGATATAACAAATTCAGTCATTCAACCATCAAAAGTGAGTATTTTGTGACCGGAAAATCTCAAAATAAAAGTAGAGTAAGAAGCTTACAAAGCTTCAGATACAAAACAGAAGCGATTTTAAAACTGAAAGTAAGTATCTGAGTACAGAAAGGGCACTTTTTTACCAGAATGAGCCATTTCTATTCACGAAACTATTTTTTCCTCAATATACAAGTTATGGACTCAAGCGGTTTCCTCACTTTTTTCCCACAACAGATTGAAAGCAGTTTCAACCTCACCCAAGAACTGCAACCGATGCTTCAGCTGTGGGATAATCTCGGGACTGAAGTGAGCGATCCCGTCATCCAACAGCTTAATGAAATAGAGCCCACGGTTGACGAGGCACTGACAACGGCTGCCAAGTTTACAAAAATTGGAGGCTTCATCATCTTGGTCTTGTTCACAGTTGTGCTCATTATCATACTCGTCTTTGGCATTATCGCTGCCGTTCAGGCTGCGAAAGGTCAGTCTCGCGACTCATCAGTGTATTCGTCGGCCTGACTAGTGGTCAAGTTCCTGGCTAGAGTTCAATTGAAATTTCCGAATGTAGTTTTACTGGGTCAGATTCTGTTGCCCGAAACTTCCCATGGTTGGAGAATACCGACTTTAACAGCTAATGTGCAGTAAATGCAGTAGAAGCTCTGAGATTCTATGAACTCGCATACAATTTCCCAGAATACTAAGGAAGAAATCTTGACACTCAAATTTTAGTAACCGCGCAAAGCTTTGTCAGAAAGCCAATAAAGGGAATGATTCTGGAAGTCAAAAAATCACAAGTAAATTATTGAGTGCCTGACAGTGAGTCTGAAAAATTGAGGTAGACATTCAGTGTTTCGAATCACGAGCGTGACTAGCGTTACACACTTAGAATTACAACTTCAATGTGTACAGGCTTCTTGATGATCCAGCACATTTGGTCAAAGTGTAATATCTCTAGTGATAAGAAAGGTTGTGTTATATCTGCTGATTAGCCAACATGTTGTATCTGGCTGCTGATCCGCTCCGGTGCCTAGCGTCTGAAAACAGACTCACAGAAGGAAACACAACTGCTGTATTCCGAACACGCGAGTGCGAGAGCGTGAGTGCGTGCGAGTGCAACATTACAACGGTCTCAAGCTATTATTGGATGGACACTGTCTGAACTTGGTCTGCCTTTGGTACGAGGCTGCGACGTGCTGCATATTGCGGGGCGTTGTCTGAGCTTGACCAACGCTGACTCGCGCTGTCTGGGTTTGATACAATGCTGTGAAGCGCTGCATATTAGGGAGGCGTTGTCTCTCTGGTCAACATCTAGCGGAGCTGAGAGTCTCAGTAGACTTCGGGCACTCAGTGGTTGCTCAGTGGAAGCTGACCTTCTTAATAGGTTGACGTCAAACTTTATACTTTTCAGTATATCCACAATCTCTTTAATGGTTGCAAAATCCAGCTAGCGTTTAAGTGACGGGTCCGAATAATGACTCGATAAAAATTCTTCAGATCCCGACATAATGTTACAGACTTGGATACGTTAAGCATGAAATGGTTCAGGTGCCGGCTATCCTCAAATAATACTCTGACCGCTGCTTTTGCTAAACGTAGGAAAATTCACTCAGTTTGATTACCTTTTCTTTTCCAGATTGTAGGGTTTCAAATGAGAACTATTTGAATACTTGGAGAATGTAATTTACCTTGAAACATAAAGCTCAGAAGCAATCACGGGGGTGGTACTCATGGTCCGGAGAGCGGTAAGCTCAAATATACTCCTTTTCCTTCAAAGAAATATCGCAAAAGAGACCAGATGGTAAATAGCAAATCACTTGACAGTCGCTGTGAAATAATTAAGAATTGTATAGCTGTTTAGTATAAACTTGCATATCACCAAATTGTGCATATGACAAGTAACTTTGTCAAAAGAATTCGACTCTGTCTCTCACGAACAGAACTCGTGGTCAACATGATCTCGGTCTATTGTTTAAGATTGTTAGAAACATCTTCCCACCTTTGTAATGTACTACTCATGAGGTTGCTGAAAATCGCCTCGAATATCGTAGCGACTGAAACATGAGGCGGCCTGGTGCAGCACATTCACTTGCCTGAGAACATCACAAACGAGAGATTCAGCTGGGTTCCGGGTGAGTCTCTCGCTAAACCTAATTAGTTTACAAATGAGTGTATATTCGCGATCTTCCCACCTTTTTCCCCTTACAGACTCCCACGGACCAAAGTGCTGCCTCTGCTGTGGACTAATTCTCCCAGTGGTATTCTGCTTCCTAATCCCGCTGTTGGTCCTGATCTGCGGAGTGTTCGTTCTCTTATCGGGGATAATCACGAACGAGGGATGCCGTTATGTTGGCAATCCTTCTGGAGTAGTCGTAACCGATGGAATACTAAACCTTTATCTCAAATTCCTTTGGCCTCAATTGTTGTCAGACAAATTTGTGGATCCATCGATTTCAGTCATGTTGGACATCCCAGTACCAGAAGATGTGTTAGACGGTATTTTGATGAAGTGCAAATCCTCAGAAACACGGGATCCCGGGTTGCTCCCTTCACTTGGAGTGGATCACTTTCTAAATGCAACAGCTGTGACCGAGCAACCGGAATATAAAAAAGCAATAACGGATGCAGAGGAGTAGGTTATCTAGAATGTCATTTTGCGTTCTGATCTAGCTTTCGAAAGTTTCGTTTCAACAGTAGCCCAGTCGGAAGCATTTTCATTATGTTAGACAATGCTCCGTCTAGAAGAAATCTTGTCAACGAATACAAAATGAGCAAATGAATTTCGGCGACTTTTCAGCAATTGCTTGCACACAAAAATACTTAGTTATCATTTTGGTGGACACAAATATTGCCTCTCTAATTCCATTTGCGGAGTCATCTTAATGTTCCACGAATAATGCAGAGATAACATCATGGTCATGTTACCCGAGAAAGGAAGAAGGCCTTCACTGCGGAGTTATTTATCAGGAAATGCCAACTGACCGGTTAAGAACCATTGGACAGGGAAGTAGGACTCTCATTTGCATCTTATTTACAAAAACTGGAAGTCCATCTTCTCCTTTCCTGGATATTTATTGACTCCAATCATTCATTGCTCAAATCCAACAAACGTTACAAAGCGACTCCACAAATTCCGCAACAGATCTCCCCTTTTCAAGAGACGCAAATCGAAATTTCAGGAACAACACATGCTAATCGTGAGCCTCCCCATCAGTAGTCCCACCGTTACACCCGAACGGCCATTATACATTCCAAAGGCAACTATACTTGGTTTCACAGAGTTTTAAAGCAGAATGCACCCTGGACAAAACGTCTGCGCTTTTGAAAATAAATTAACGGCACAGTGTCGTGCACTTGTTTGGCATCCAAACAGGCTTTGAGTAGATATCGTAAACTTCATAATATATTTTGGAATTCCTTTAACATCGTTTTGCCGAATCTCAATGATCTGGGCTCTCAAAAGTGTCTGAAGATCAGGAATGATTTACACCGGCTACCGGTTCCCCGCCACATGCATCAAAATCTAAAACACCCTGAGATGATTCGTACTCATTCGGCGGAGTTGACCCTTATTGATTGTGAGTCACTTCCTACGACAAGATGGTGTAAACGGCTAAGAAGCAGTCATAAGTGGTGCGTTAAACTGAGAGATGTGAAGAAATATCGTTTCCGTTTGTTTTCCATTTTTGAGGACTCTCGCTTTCTTACTTCAAGAAATGTGTCTGCTTGTTTCCGTTCTGTCTTCTGAAGTGACATCTAGTTTAGTTAGTTACCTTTGCACCAGGGTGTCAAAATATCCTATTTACTTCAGCATTGCTCTTTTAGCGTTCCATGTAAATCTGAGCGATTTTTTGAACGCATCGCTGGCTGAGTACCAAGTGTGTTCTTTTCCAATCCCACTAAGGGGCATCATATCTGAATCTTGTGGGTGAGTATCTTGTTAAAGTAGTCTCTAACAACGCCATGCTGGTACTGTGGTTGTCGAAAGTAAACAAACCATCAGGAGCTTCCCCGGCTGACTCAATAATTTTATCATTCGCCAGCCTATTGGACTTCTACAAAGGACTCTTCGGCTGAATCCATCTGTCGCGAGGTGTGACTGATGCGCTAACAACAGGTTTCCGAGTATCTTTGTAATGTACTACTCATAAGGTTGCTGAAAATCCATCGACAGCCCACGACTGGTTTCGCCCTTTTTGGGGCTCATCAGGTAGGCGCAGTCCCCGGGTTTTCGTCAACCTTATGTTCTACTTGAAACCAAATTGCACGAAATTCGCGAATATACACTCATTTGCAAACCGATTTGGTTTTTCGAAAGACTCACCTTTGCAAACCGTTTGGTTTTTCGAAAGACTCACCTGGAACCCAGCTGAATCTCAGGCTAATGTTTTCAGGCATCAGGTTAATTCCATTGATCCCCATAGAGCTGGTGTACAGTCGGCATGGGTGGACCGCGATCTAAGCCATGCCGAAGTAATATCATGCTGGTTGTAGATGCTTTGCAGTCCGAGCTGAGCAGTCTATATATGCCACCGGCGTACTTAATGCCCTTGAATAAATACGCCAAAGGCTGTCAATCCCATAGGTGTTGTAAGAGGCGGACAGTGATCTTTTCATTATGATTGCGATGGTGAATGTGAATGATTGACAAAGTACTTGTCAGTCGCGTCTAACCTGGTTCATAAAAGTGGGCCCATAATTTGTCATCCTACCCCTCTATAAGACCACATTCAAAATTGGATAGATAGAGTATGAAGCTGTCGTGAAATCGAGAACTTGATTATTTGCCAGTAAAATATGCTGCATCGACCAGGCACCGTCGTAGAATTGTATTTGTACGTTGTTGACTCTCGTCCACGAGGGCACTGGAAATAGTAATCCGTTATTATTTTGGCAGTCAGGACCAAATTTGAACAACAGTACACAGAATAGGCTAACCGAGTAGTCTGGGTGTTTGCTAAAAGCAGCTTGACACCACAGTGTTCTTTGCTTGGCGCTCTTTAGCCAACTTTTTACATTTGAAATTATGTACGAAAATTTCGTTCTACTCGCATTCTGATTCCATCTTGATTAGTTTGAAATGGAATTGTAAACTAACTAACCTCAAATTTATCATTGTACGTTGCTACCACAACGCTCCTAAGGAACAAGACAACTCAGCGGATTTCCATTGACTTTGGATAAATGGTACAAAAGATCCATTGAGGTTTATATGGCGCATCAAACGATTGGGATGTTGAAGGCTGGTCAGAGTGCTAACCGCATTGTGCAGCCAATAGATGGAAGCAATTGCAAACTCATCCTTTCCTAAAGTCTCCACGTTAACATGTATTTCCCTAACAAATAAGGCAGGACTTCTTGATTTAAGCATGGGCTTTTATAACCTCATGCACTTTCTATAGGTGCCGGTGGTGTGGGGTGTTCCAAAAACACCTATCGGTCTTTGCGTGACGTACAGGCGTAATGCTACAATTTTCTGAGATTACTAAGAGCAGCCGATTACGGCGTGTCCTCCCCGAGAAAAGAACTTCATTTTCAGTTTTCATCCAATATCACCATCAGCGGCATCAGAAGGCATGATAATAGGTCTCAGAGAATACGTGGTTCTGACTGCATTGCGGGCTGTATTCTTGTACGGCGGTGAGACTTGACAACTTCACGAGGAGGATCCAAGAAATCTTTAGGTCTTTGGCTACTAATTTCTCATAACTAACTACATTTGAAATCGGTCGAAGCCAGTGACTCGCAATGGAGCGATCAGAAGAGGGGTTTTGGTGAAGCAAACGGTACTTCACTCAATCAGCACATCCAGTCTAGCAAATTAAGTTGGCTGGGACATGTATTGCTCCTGCCGAGTTATCACCGGCCAAGATCAGTGCCTCGATTAGAGTGGTGTAGTTGTGAGTTACTCTTTGTTTTCCTTGGCTAGCTGGGTTGTATTTCGAATATCACCGATTATACCAGAGTGGATTTATGAAGAAATTCCACTGGCAGCTAAAAATGTAAATGAGTGTTCTATGATATTTCATCTTCAATTCATCATCACCAGTCATGGCAGTCCATGGTAGCCACAACAGCAGGCTAATAATTCAGAGAGCAGTAAGACCCTCCACACCACTGTTGCGAATGATTCATTGATAGGTTCCCATCATGTGGAACAAGCCACGGCGGTGAGGTGCATTTGTTTTCTTCTTGAAAGTACCACATCCGATACATTTGTACAGCCTTAGTGAAGATAGTTGGAAGGAACTACATTGTCGTGCAACTGCACTGGACGGTGAACATATTCTCACCAGGACTGGATATCACTCCAGTCAGTCAAGTGATAAGTTGCTCGGTGCATCCTCATGTATTTCATTATATGGTTGATTTTTCGGATAAACAGCAGTTCCTCAAGAAGACATAACACTTCTATTTTAGGCACCGGATTAGCAATTCTGAATTACGTCGAATGGTATTCGAGAGAAATAACTCACCCTCAATAGATGAACTGATCATACTATATAGGTTGCGCTTGCTTGGCCACGTGTTGCGTATGCCAGTCGACCGACTCCCTCGATGTGCTCTTTTCGCACAACCACGTGAAAGGTGGAAGAGAGCCAGAGGCGGTCAAACAATGACTTGTCAGCGAAGTATGAAAGCCATTGCAAGCAAACTCAGCTGCGCTGGTCACTACCGTCTTCCTGGATGGGGACCCCGAGACGGTCCACATCAATGGTTAGAGACATTGTCAGATATGGCCCACTCGTGCCCTCAATGGCGCTCGTCCATTCAAGCTATTGCCTTCAATGCATAGCTCCTTTTTCAACCCCCCCCCACTTGACAGTCCACTGACAGTGCTGGATTTATGCACCAATTTATCATCTCCCGCCTGCAATGCGCAGCTACCTACCCCTCCCCCCAAATCATCGTTGAACGGAACTGCGGCAGCTACAACTACTGTAAGACGAGTACGCGGTTATTACAGCTGACAATGATGATGAAGATGACTTTTCGATGAGTTCATTTTTGGAGGCGGAGGGTACACTGGTTTCTTCCTTTATAAACAACCTTATCGTTGATTAACCTTAGTTGTGCCCCGGTCAGAAACCGGTCAGAGCAAGCTCAAATTTACCAGCTGCACAAACTGGCCGGTGAATGCGTGATTCGTGAGCAACAATTTCATATAAATGACAGAGTGTACGTTGCTTCTTCGCCCACCTAGTAGGCCCCAGTATAGGAGAAAGCGCCCTTGTTCCGGTAACCAATCAGCATACTTCTGGTAAAATGACGAGTTCAAATCCTGCGCGAGTCTAGATGGACAAGCAGATAAAACTTTCTGACTTGTCGCCAATAGAAAAGTAACTACCCGAATTAGTCAACAGTTAACGAGACAAAGAATCATGCGTGTTAGTGATCTATCACCGTAGAAACGTACTACCGTTTGAAGTTGTGCTTCGAACTTAACGGATATGCATCGCGTTCCAGATTAAAAACAAGCCGCCTGAAGGCTCACGAAACACATTTTTCAGCATGCAGTCACATCTCCATGGCCTCAGTAAGGTCCGCTTTGATTGACATCACATTGTTCTGCAATACTATGGGCAGTGTCTCACAAAGCCTAAAAGTCCTCTTCTGGTTCACTCTGCGACATGAGGAAGATACCTATGGAAGAAAGTAAAAGAAAACTCTGGATAGGTAGAACGTCTCCGACAGATCATACTTCAGAGCAAGCGATGGACCCAAAGACAAAATGACTGGAACTATCTCTCAGTGGAAGCCAACGATACTTCTTGGGTGACTTTCCAAGCTTGAGCCATTAGATTTGCAGTGACCAGGGCTGTGCCGATATCATTGTTTTCATGAGAAGATCCATGTCAGTGTCATCAAGAATCGTGCATGCTCAACCGAACAACCGAAGGTGAATGAAAACCTCACGTTTCGCTCAAAGTATACTTGTCCATATTTGATTTATGTGCACTTGGATTCCTGTTCTGGGGATTCATACTTGTAGTAAATTATAATGTAATGCACTTTTCTAAATCGGATTCGCTACTACTCTCCACACTGGATGTTCACCTTTTTCTCTGTGTACTCACTTATATCGACCGTTTGAACGAAAAGTTAGGTGTGTCTTTTTCTAATGATTTTTCCCACAGAGTTTTAGTTACAAAAATACGTGACTTTGATTTTACCTCGCTGTTGCCGAACAACTTGGATGAAATTGGCAAACCCATTAAGGACTTGGAAAGAATATTAGGTTCAACAACATATGAGGTGAGTCTTTTCAAAACAAAATCACTGATTTTGCCTGTTTTTTTTGTGTTTTTCAAATGGAACAAGTAGGCATCCTTTTGCAATGGGTCACCAAACTGAATCTGAGGTGAAGCACTTGCTCGTGATAATCTTCAACAGAATATGCCCAACAGTTTCAGTTGGTCCGATATTCGATGCATTGCGGCGTTCTCTCTTTCTAAACCGAACAACACCCACAAATAATAGAACATCTTAACCGGTAGGAGATGCCTACCGTCATGTCTTGTAGAACGGCCCAAACTTGTGCTAGAAAACGTATTAAATGGGAAAGGTCGTGGAGTATAAGCCACACCAGGTTCATCAATGTGATTAAATGGTGCATCAAAACTCAGGGTTTTAATCTGTTTCCGAACGACCTTGTCGCATCGAACTACACTAATAAATACCCCTGCATAGAATGGACGAGTCCCTTTTGCACTGAGCCACGTGTGCAACCAAATGCAGGTCTCCGGTGTAAATCAGGGGGTCCTGAGTGAGCGAATGTGACAACTCCAGCGCTAACACCCATAATTGTATACTTAGTAAAAATTTGAAACCCACAGTGAACGCTTATGTTGGCTGCGTGGTCCAAACCACTGATGCACACATACAGGTGGCCAGCTGTTTCCAGCCAACAATCAATCTGGACTTCCAGAAAGTGGACAAAGAGATGTCGCATAAAGAACTGTCGGCCTAAATCTCCTGGACGGTCAAAATATTAAATCAGGTCAATGCAGATCTGGATACAAACGAACTAGCAGATGAGCACAGTAGTTGATGTTTCGAGCAGACTGACACATAAGCAATGCTTCATGCGGTGCCGTAGTTAACCGCAACTCGATTTTGTTCAAAGTTATTCAAAGATACTTCTGTCACCATCGTATTCTTAACACTCAAAGGTCTAAATCTAGCCTTTGTGCTCGTTCCAGAAACTAGTAATCCTACGACCGAACTACATGTAGTCACTACACGTACTTCTTCCACCGGCAACGACGGCTACCCATTGCCTTTCGTCCAAAATATACGTATAGTGTCGCATTTTAATAATATTACATTATAAAACAAGCCCAACTACTTTTCGGTATCTCTGTTGAAAGCCGGCGATAATATAACTTCGCGATTTCTCTAAAATGTTTGCTG